TTATAGCCTATATTTTGATATTTTTTAAACTAATGTGTTGTAAAGAATAATTCTGGAGATGTGTACCTACTGTAAGTTTAAATAAATCTACATTGTGAAGCAACCCCCTACTTTCACTGAATTGGAAATATTTTAGTAAAATACAGTGAATTGCAAGGCTTTGTAGAACTGCGCTATTGTCGACTTTAAGGTTCTAATTATACGACTTAAATAGATATTGATCTATGATGGGCCAGTGTGAGGCATGAAACTCCAGGGCTGAAAACGAGTCACACACCAGGCATGCGTTAGTTTAATATGTCCCTATGGTCAAATTATTATCTTTTCTAGAGGTACCATCATTTTTGTCCAGGCCTATTTCATTAGTTTCATTKTAAAAATGATTCAGTTGAACCACAATTCAACAGCAATGGGTGATTTTCACTGGTTAATTTTCAGTCATTCTTATAAGAGATGCACAGATTGTGTTTTTCATTTATTTATTTTTGGCTGATTCTGATTTCTGTTCTGTGGAAAGTTCTGAGTGGCCAATAGAGATTTTCTTACAGTGCACTAACCCACGCATATTCATACACATTCAAGATTATCAGCGGTCTTGAGTGAAACTCTGTAACTAATGTGTAGAACTACAATTGAACTTAATAAAATTATTGGAGTTTAATGATTTGCCTAGAACCACACTATCACTTTTTTCTGTATCGTTTTATGTAAAAAAACAACCCCCCACCCTCCTTTAAATTTAACATTTAAGTTTATATTTACTCACAAAATCTAGCTTGTCAAACCTGATCACACGCTTGTTTCTGTGTTTTGTGCTGACGTCGCATTTATGGACCAAAAAACAAGCAGGATTTCTCTGGACTTGTTTAAAAACCAGGATGAAAAAAAAGTCTGAACTTTTAATTTTATTTATCTGATCAGTTTTAGCTGAGCAAAGTGAAAACTGGCCAAATGCTCAGTGCATCCTTAATTTTTATTTATTATTACTTTTGTCAGTTTCAAGTTATTTCAGTGTCCATTGTGGACTTTTTGGTCATTAACACAGTTACCAACAACATTGTCCACCTGTATACAGTACATGTTCTTAGTAATGCTACCTTTAAACTATAGGACTTGGGTCACAGGTTTTGCAATCCTTTTACAAGCTTCTCACAGTAGTTTGCTGTAATTTTATCCCATTCTCCCTGACAGAACTGGGTACAGACTTAGGTTAGATGGCTGCCTTCCTTCCTTGTCTTTTCAGCTCTGACCACATATTTTGAGGTTGATACACACACACCCAAAGATGAACCAGACTTGTGGCGTCAAAACTTTTCTTCCTTATATCTTGGCTGATTTCTTCTGATTTTCTTCAAAGTGTCACATAAATAAACTGTTTAAGGTGAACCTCAAAATGAGTCAGCAGGTGTGTCTGTATTTTCTATGTCGTCAACTAACCTATCAAAGTGTCAGAGGTCATGGTATCATCATCATTTGTGTCTTCCTGACTTGTTTAAAAGCACAATAATCCTAATTTGACTGAGGTGTGTATAAAAGCAAACTGGAATTTCTACCCGTGTGGTTTTTGTTTTCTGTGTGGATTCTCATGTGTCTGTTCAAACTGCTACTCTGACTAAACCTTCTCTCACACAGCTCACAACAAAAAGGTTTCTGTCCTGTGTGGATTCTCATGTGTCTGTTTAAATCTCCCTTTGTGGTAAACCTTCTCTCACACAGCTCACAACCAAACGGTTTCTGTCCTGTGTGGATTCTCATGTGTGTGTTTAAATAGCCCTTTAGGGTAAACCTTCGATCACACAACTCACAACTAAATGGCTTCTGTCCTGTGTGGATTCTTAAGTGTTTGTTTAAATTGTTCTTTGAGGTAAACCTTCGATCACACAGATCACACCAAAATAGCCTTTGTCCATCTTTGTTGTTTTTTACACTAGATACTGAAACCCTGCTGGGAGAAGACTCCCAGTGTCCATCAATGTCTTCAGTTCTTGACCCAGAGTCTATTAAATGTTTCAGCTGAGAATCAGGATTGTTCACATCATTTTCCTCTACATCATCCTCACTGACTTCAGTTTCTGAAGAGTCAGAATCCTCTTCATGAACAGTCAGATCTGGGTTTCTTGTAGTTTCTGCTCCTCCCCAGGACTCTCCACCAGTTGCTGATTGTAGGTATTCAGCTGAACTGCTGGTTGGAAGATCTCTAAATTCAACTTGATGAACGTGTAAGAACATAGGTTTATCTTCATCATCCTCAGACTTAAAAGGAACTGCAGTAAATGAAAAGCTGGTGTCATCAGTCTCCTCCTTCACATTGAGCTGCTCTTCCCCCAGACTGCTCCACAGTTCCTCCTCTTCTTCTTCCTCTTTTATGTGGAGGGGTTCTTGGTCCTGCTGGTCCTCATAAGGCCTCTGTTCTTCAGGAGCTTCTYCTTTGATCAACACCAGTGTCTGAACATCTGCAGGAACCACTGAAACAGATGAACAGTACATTAAAGGAGAACTGTAAATTCATATTCACACATACAGTACATCTCCTGTTTGAGTGTTCAAGTCACAGAGTTGTTTTTTAACTAAACAGGCTCCAGAGCTCACTTACCACCAGCTCTTTTCCAACAGTGTAAGCTCTGGCTTTTGCACAAAAACCTCAAAACACTGCACACAACTGTTASTGTTTCTCCACTAAAAAAGTTTCAAGTGACCAGCAGGACTGGTGCCAGTGATTGTCTCTAATGAATTCTTAAAATGAATGTTAAGAACCAGTATGGTTTTACAGCCCAAGAGCCAACTCTGAGCCACRTCTTTACCAGAGGTGGAATGAGTACAAAAATAATGTACTTCAGTGAAAAAAATAAGGTACTCTATTGGAATTTTTCTCAAGTGCAAGTACAGGTTACTTAGATAAAAATCTACAAGTATAAATAAAGACGTCATTTACATATCAGTTACTAACAAAAGCATGTGCAAAATATTTAAAACATTTTGGTAATTCCATGTCAAATCACCTAATTACATATAGTGTATCTCTTTAGATCAAACTCATTAACTGTAAATCAATGTTATTTGTATAAAATGGTTAATGAACTGAACTTATATAATGCTTATATTAAGTCCCTGTGGACTCCAAAGTGCTTTATACTTCAATCATTCACCCATTTGAAGAAATTTATTGGGGTGAAGAAATTTATAGTTTAGTACTGATTATAACAACACCAGAGTATTAGGGTTTTGCTTATTTTATACCTTTTATAATGTCTGTTATAATTGTGTTAACTAAATTAGGTAGATACATGTCCGAATTCTAACAACACATAAGTGAAACGTTTTAAACCATTAGATTGAGGTGTGGTTGTCTGAATGCCTGTGATTCAGCCGTAGGCCAGCAGGGGTGAACTCGGGCGTTGAAGATAATGGAATGTATATAAAATGTGACTTCCTGGTTCTGAAGCAGTGTGGTTTTGGTTGTCATTCTGCTGGCAATAAACCTCACTCCGGAATTCTGGTGTTGTATGGCAATTATTTCTTATCACAGATCAATTTATTTACAGTGGTTTGCAAAAGTATTCATACCCCTTGAACTTTTCCATATTTTGTCACATTACAACCACAAACA